TCGCCTCAACTCGAAAACGACGATCGTAGACCAAGCCATATCCATTCCCCAACTTTTTTCTGAATTCCCGGCACATCTGATGGTAGAATAGGTGTCGTGGCTGAACCGGGGGCATCAAGATGAGTTTTCTGTTTTTCCGGCGCGGCGCGTGCCCCACGTCGACCGTCCCCTGGCGTCGGAATCCCCACCCCAGCCCACTGGTCAGGCGCGTGTGCCGGGTGGGGATCGAGATCTTGCAGATCTTGGGCGGCGGCGCTAGGGTTTTCACCTAGGGCCGCCGCCTGAGAATGTGGCTGTAAAGATGGCGTGAGGCCGGTTTTCTGGGGTGTACCGAGCGACGCGAGGGTGCCGACGCCGGCGGGAATAGGTGGCTGAAATGGGTCCGGTGGTGAATGGGTGGGTTTGGATGTGGCGGGGAGCATTTCGCCAGAGGTGTAAGGTTACTGTTTCTACTACCACACTGTTTCTACTACCACATTCGAAATCACATATTCTTCATCACATCAACAGTAAAAATGCATTCTTACCTTCAAAATGTACACCAAACGGGGGCTTATGAGGTACAGTAACAATCTTGACCCATATGAGGTACTATATCTACTTAAGACCTTTAGCATAGTAATACAAGTAATACCTTTAGACATGGAAGAACAAGAGCATGAATAACTTGACGTAAACATGTCATAACTGGGAAACAAAAAAGGTTTTCAAGTTGCATTTTGCTCAAAGAATATACGGAAGAACTGCCTAAGAATATGGTGCTAAAGGAAGAAAATGGCCGATTGATGATGATAAATTTTAATTTACAATTAAATATAGTCTAACTAATTCATAGACATATGCTCTTTTACCGATAAGATGAACAGGTATAGTTCGTGGAAATGCATTTTCTCGCTCCTCTACAAACTCCTAAACTAGAAAGGAACAATTCAAATTAATTATTGCCTCAATATCTGAATGTCATTGGCTTGTCAAATTTACATATTTTTAGAAAAAAATAATGAGAAGAAAAACCAGCCTAGAGAAAGTTACCTCAACATTCCGCTTCGTTCCTTTTATTCGTTCATTCCACATGTTACGAATAAGAGCCCTTCGGCCCTCGGCAATAGTGTTTCCCACAGGAAGAGTACAATAATCAATGACCTATTTAAAAAAGGCATTTCTCAATAGGATGATAATGTATCAAACTGCTAGTGTATGCCAGTTAAAACAGTTAAATAACATGAAATGTGGGTCCAAACCTCCTCCAATTCTGATAATTGCTGAACGCGAACCATATTGCTGTATGCACGATCATAACTTTCAAGAACCTATTAAGAGGTAAATTTTAGACATCAGTATTCAGAAAGAAACAAGATATAAAATTACAGTAGTTTCAAATGTAATCATGTCGATTTCAATGTTTGCAGATATGCCTAATAGTTCTTGTAAATTATTAGTCATATCACTATAACAGTCAACCAAATATTGTGTACTTTTAACATGTTACATGATACGGATAACAACCAGAATACTGTTAACGAGGGTTTTAGAGCTTCTGGGGGCTCTTATGTTTACAGGTTTGCAGGGGAAATTGATCGTTCCATTAAGTTAGTTAAAGTAGGTGTATTATGGGAATTTAGTAGAATGAACTGTACAGCCTCTAACTAGCAATAGGCCATTCAGGCAGAAATTGAGTATTGTCTTGGGAGAGAATTAGAGCCTCTCGAATGCTCTGCAATTTATTGTATTTCCTTTCCTGCTTGTTCCATGCAATACAAATAAATAAAAACAAAAAGTACATTACAAAAAAAAATCTGTTCATCCCAATTTGATCACAGAAAACCTATGTAGCATGAACACTTCAACTAGGGTAGCGTATCCGTGTCGGACGCGTGTTGGATGCCGACACTCAGACAATCTATCATGGTTATTTTTATTTTTTATCAAAAATATTATATATTTTTAACTCAAACTTCATATTAAATTACAAATAAGTACTCATATTTAAAAGATTTCGACATACAAATTAATAATAAGTATAAAACTAAATTTATACTATAAAAATAAAAATTTTAAAGAATTTAATTAATGAGTCGATGACGTGTCATGTCAGTAGATTTTTGAAAAATCGCATATGAGCATGTTCGACACACTTTCGTGTTGGTGCTTCATAGCAGAAAACAATAAAAACTCGGTAACAAATAAGCGGGATCTTATCAGAAATTTCTTGGACAAGGAGAAAAACTATTGTTCAATTAAGTTCTACTACAGTTATTCGAACCAAATTTAAAAGCCAACCAATTAATGAAAGATAAAAAAAGAAGAAATTCTATGCATCACACACAAAACCCATGGAAAAACCACAAGGGTATGATTGCATCTCACAATCAAAAGCCTTGTCAAATTTAATAAATAAACAGGTCTATGATTCTTTAAACATAGTACATCAAGATCAGGCTCCAAAATATCTCCTCATACCATTAGGACAAAGACCACTAACAAGGAAACCAACTAATTTGACATCTAAACGTCACTGACCCTCTAGAATTACCAAAAAAACACTTGATCCAGCTTAGTCTCGACTCAGGATATATATTCCAGAAAACTCAGGAAAGTAAGGAAATTCTGAAATTAAAAAAAGTGCCCCTGTTCCACGGAAATGTAAGAAAATAAGTGGAACACTAACTCGTGGGTTTTTAGCCTAATCTAAGACTCAGCTTAAGACAAAACTAGGTTGCAAGACATTGCAGAGAAGCCTGCATCAGAGCTTATGCGAATTTTGAGATTCTCCTGTTCATAGTTCCTTCTTCTAACCCTTTAATCGACTGCACATTCTCCATTAATTTGACTTAAAGTTTGCATTGTTTTAAGTATAAAAATCTTTAATGTACCAAATCAAGCCATTGCATGGTTTCGAAGTATCGCGATTTTTTAAACTCAGGTATAGTAGAATCTGTTCTTTTCGGTTCAGAATTTTTCACCATTTCCAGACTAAGCCCCTTAGAATACACTATATATGAATTGACCATTTTCAGACTAAGCCCCTTATAGAATAATCTATAAATACTTTAAATACAATCAGGCCCAAATTTGATTTTAAATTTAGCTTTTTTTGCATTGAGAGAAGAGAAAGCTCCAGGCCATTGCTGGTTTGGATGATCCAGATTCCAGTACAAAGGTAGCTAAGAAAGCCAAACTAAGTGTACAACTGGAACAAAGCAAAGGGAAGGGAGCTAATAAAGGTGAGACACTGCGAAAAGCCAGAGGCACGAGCCCTTACTATTCTATAAAGGAGCTTTGAGCGAGGGTATGAGGCTGAGGGTTGCTTTTTATTATATTACGCAGCGTAGAGTCAAAGGTTGTTTCTTACATACATAATGAAAGGGCATGCCGGCATTACTTTCAGCCAACGAGCTACTAGATGCTATTTTGACACCACAAACAGTAAAGAGAGGATCCCTAGCCCTAGTACTTTGATTCAACTACTTATGTTCTTCGCCAATGTAACATGAAGGTGAAGCCTTCTCCCATATACTCGTTATAGAGAGGAGATGTTTGACAACTTCTCTAACACAGTGTATCAAGAACTGAAGAAATAAGTTAGTCGTACTAATGCACCTAACAATAATATTACTTAAGCTTAAATGATTTCAGAGGCCAATTTTTAACTGTCATGCAGCCTTTTTCATTGCACTCAGAAAAATGGGATTTGGGTGGGGGGGGGGGGGGGG